GGTGGTATGTGGTTAGGTTTAGGTTAAGGTGGGGTTGTTGGTACGTGGTAGGATACTGGTGGTATGTGGTTAGGTCGAGGTTAAGGTGGGGTTGTTGGTACGTGGTAGGTTACTGGTGGTATGTGGTTAGGTCGAGGTTAAGGTGGGGTTGCTGGTACGTGGTAGGATACTGGTGGTATGTGGTTAGGTTGAGGTTGGGTTGCTGGTATACGTGGTAGGATACTGGTGGTATGTGATTAGGTCGAGGGGTGGGGTTGCTGGTACGTGGTAGGATACTGGTGGTATGTGGTTAGGTTGAGGTTGGGTTGCTGGTATACGTGGTAGGATACTGGTGGTATGCGGTTAGGTCGAGGTTAAGGTGGGGTTGTTGGTACGTGGTAGGATACTGGTGGTATGCGGTTAGGTCGAGGTTAAGGTGGGGTTGTTGGTACGTGGTAGGATACTGGTGGTATGCGGTTAGGTCGAGGTTAAGGTGGGGTTGTTGGTACGTGGTAGGATACTGGTGGTATTTGGTTAGGTTTAGGTTAAGGTGGGGTTGTTGGTACGTGGTAGGATACTGGTGGTATGCGATTAGGTCGAGGTTAAGGTGTGGTTGTTGGTACGTGGTAGGATACTGGTGATATACGATTAGGTCGAGGGGTGGGGTTGCTGGTACGTGGTAGGATACTACTGATGAATGATTACGGTGAGGTTAAGGTCAGATTGTTGGGATGATGGTAAGTTGGGAGGACGCCTTCACCGACTTCATCGTGACACATGTCTGCGCGCGCGCACACACGGCGACAATAACGGCAGTCTCGACAACAAAGGCTCGCTTCATTCCCACACTGATATCGCAGGAGGAGGTTGGGTAGCGACGCTGCACGGCACGGCCCGGTGCTGGCTCCGCGAGACTGATTAATATTAATGGGCCGCGCGCTGGCTACAATGGGGGCCACGCGTCGCCGCAGGGCTGCCATCTGCTGCTTCTGTTTTTTGCAGAGTTCCCTGGAGGACGGCGCTCCTGAAATCACTGTGCTCTTTATAATTCTTCGTCTCGTGCGGTGTGCTCGCGCGCGCGTGCGCGTGCGCGCGTGCGTTCTCTCGTACGTACAAGCGCGCATTCGCTCGTGCGTGCGTGCGTGCGTGCGTGCGTGCGTGCGTGCGTGCCTGCCCGCGTATGGGTGCATTGGGTGTATGTATTTGTGGGTGCGTGTAATCGTCTGTGCGTGTGTGCCTGCGTGCGGTCGTGCATATTTATGTTATGAGTATACGGGCGTATAGGTCCGTGCGTGCATGTATGTATACGTATGTGTGCCTGCGTGCGTGCGTGTGTGTGTGAGGGTCTTTGTCTCCACGAACCTGTGTGTGGCGGACGCCCGTCTTTTTTCAGGCACGGATAGATGTGGTTATCAGCAGGAGTCGAGCCTAACAGAGGCGCTCTGCTTCGTGCTGGCAAAGCCCTTGAAATGCAGCTCATTATGAAATATGATTGCAATTTGCATACAAAAGTCGGCGTGAAACGGGAGCACGTGAAACGCTGTGAATGCTAATGAAATTGCGCAAAGAGTAGCGAGCGAATAATGATTCTCAATCTCGTGCTCTCTCTTCCTCCCTCTCTCTCTCTATCTCTCTGTCTATCTCATTCTGTCTAACTCTCTATCTCTCTCGCTCTGTCTATCTTTTCCTCGGTTTGTCTCTTACGTTCTCTCGCTCTCGCTCTCTCTCTCTCTCTCTCTCTCTCTCTCTCTCTATCGTATTCTTCTCTCATACTTCATCATTTCTCTCTCTCACTCTCTTCTCATCTCTCATCTACTCTCTCTCATCTCTCTCTTCTCAGTCATCTCATGTCTCCCTCTCTCATCATCTCTCATCTCTCCTCTCCTCATCTCTCTTCTCTCGTCTCTCGTCGTACCACTCTCTCTCTCTTCTCATCTGACATCATCTCTCTCTCTCTCTCCTCATCTCTCTCATCGCGTCTCCTCTCTCATCCTCTCTCTCTACTCTCTCCCTCCTCCTTCTCTCTCTCATCTCTCTCCTACTCTCTCTCTCTTCTCTCTCTCTCTCTCATCCTATCTCTCTCTCTCTCTCCTCCTCTCTCTCCTCTCTCTCTTCCTCCCCTCTCCTCTCTTCTCTCTCTCCTCTCTCTCTCTCTCTCTCTC